CCCCTGTGCCGGTCCGCCGCCTTTCCGTTAAAAAAAAAATATTCAAGGACCCCAAATGGCAGCCTGCACCGAAAAGGGGTGAGAAGGTAACTGTGGTCGTGAAACTTGGAGCAGGAGCCCCCCCCAAACATATTCTGGGCAGAAATGGAGTGTCCTGACATTGCACAAGGGGCGTGACACACCACGTAGGATCCACGGAGCGGGGTATGAAGCAGTTGCATCAACTGCCCAGGATCGCTGTCCAAATAAACCTTTAAATATAAACGGGCCAGGGGTTTAGAAAGCTGGTGCAACATCACAGCTGACCCCTGGGATAGGAAACCACAGCACAGAGTGACCTCAGGTGACACTTGCATAGGACCAGATGTGGGGCAGAGATTTCTGCAGAACTTGCTGTTCAGCAGCAAGTTTCAAGTAAAGGGATTGATGCAGCTGAGCAAAACCAGGATTTTTTTGAAGTCGAAGGATTCACTGAGCTGGCCATGGAGGGTGTTTAAAAGGAACAAGCCAAAAGACACACTGCAAACACCAGAGGAGATCCAAAGTAGATATAGAACAAGTCCCCTGAAACAAGCCTAATTAGTAACAACCCTGTTTTCAAATGCAAACCTACCCCCCTACACAGAAGGTAAAGAGGACAAGTGTTGCAAATCCCATGAACTGGGATCTCCACCCTACAGAAGCAAGTGCTTCAGAGTAACTTTTCCCCTCCTGCCTGTCACTGAGAGAGGCAGAGCCCAAGCTTGCTCCTCCCTGAGAAAGGCCACTTGAGAGAACATGCTCTCCCTCATGGGACACAGTGCAGAGGGAATGTGAAGTTTCATTCCTGATTCTTAGCATGATTTCCTGAACTAAGAAACCAGGTGGAGAGAAACACAGAAGAGACCTCAGCAGGATGTGATACTGACTCTTTGGAAAGGAGATTTGGAGGCACTGCAGCTGCTTAGGCTTGTACAGAACCAGAAGGGAGGGAATTTCCCATCCCTTGCATTGAATGGGGCAACAGGAAGAACGGCTGTTGCCACTCCTTTTACAGCAGAACGGTTTACTGGAGTCTATCCCCAACAATCTGGCTACCTGCCTCTTCCTAACATGGAGGTTCAGGATTTTGTAACTTCAGACCGCATTCATTCAGTTAATTCCAGATCCCCCAACTATACAAAGCTCCAATCCCAGTCTTTGTCCGCTATAAGCCCACCCCCCCAGAGATGCAAATTGCCCAGATTAGGTCAATAGCAACATCCATTTTAAAAAACGATCACAAAAAACCTCATTGCTCTCTATAACACATGCTCTCCCCAACTCCAATACAGGGTGAGATCCCATGGATAAAACATGATCCAGTCAGGTCTTTGGCTCTGGTTCCTGACGCAGTTCCCCATACACTTTGCAGGTGCATTTTTTCCTGCTCCTTGCTCTTCTTCTCCCCAGGAGGAAAGGAACACCAAAGGTTAACCCCCAGGGCACAGAAATGGAGGTGCAGGAGCTGTCTACACACCAGTCTCATTTCTTTCGCTGCTTTTGACATCAGGTTCCTCTTGCACCTTTCTCATCTCCAGCCCTTTCACCCACGTGTAGGCAAAAGAGCCCCCCAGAACCATCAGGTTACTCGTCCACCACAAGAAGCTCTTTGTCTCCTCAAAGTAGATAACAGCCAACACTGTTTGGGCACAGGCCTTGGCTGTCCCAGACACGTTGTGGGTGAGTGGGCTAGTGAACTTAATCTGAAGTCCAGTCACATACCCAATGGCAAAGCCAAACACTCCCCCCAGGGTCATCATGCCCCAAAAACTGGGGCTCCCCAGCTTGTCGAAGTGGTAGAGGGTGCGGAACTCGCCCAGCAGCATCATGAGGGGGAAGAACAGCACACAAGCATTGACGTTGTTGTAGAAGGTCAGGCGCCAGATGCTACCATCCACCACAGGCAGCACCTTCTTGGTGTAGATGGCATTGAGCGAGACACACAGGCTTGCTAAGATCCCAAAGAATATACCTGTCCATGACAGAGTGCCCTCTGCTCCTTCCTGGTCAACGCCCAGCCAGAAGCCACCTGCAACCAAACAAATCAGGCATCATCTGAACAACTGCTGAAGGACTCAAAACATACAGTCAGCAATTCATCATTTACCTTATACTGAATAACCACAACCACAAGCAGAGACAGGCTTAAGGGCTTCCCCTTTCTATTAAATGAACCCACAAAGTGTCATGACTAGTGTCCCAGGAAGATTTATTTCAGGAGCGCAGGTAATTTACTGTGCTATCATTCAATCTCAGAGGACCAATTCCCAAACTGAGCAGGCAGCATGAGTTTAGAAACTATTATTCCAAAGAGCCATGAACTAAAGCTAAAGGTACTCTTTGTGTATAGGCCATTTTCAGGAGATCATACAATTTTTTTTCTAACTGAAAAGGCAGCAAACTGACACACAGGTAGCAAGAAATATTCCTCAAGGTTTAAAAAAAAAAGAAAAAAGGGGGGGGAGGCCTCACAGGCTTTGCTGCACTGTTCACAGGAAGGGAAAGATAGGTCAGAAAAGAAGATGGAAAGATAGTAAACACATGGATGTAATATTAAGAAGCTTGATCAAAAAAAGATCACAAGGCAGAAACTGAGTGCAGTATCTTCAACATGTTAAACTTTGATGGGTAACGCACACTTTAGCCACCCCCGAAACAGGAGCTACAGGCTTTGTGTCTTCAGGGCAGAGAGGGAGACCTCTCCCCATCCCGCTCATAAGCAAAACATAAAACGGGAGATGAGCTACTGAAGGAACACTGCACTGCCTCTCCATTAGCTGCTCCGTGCTGGAGGCCAACTGGGAAGTTGCCTGCAAAGCAGCTAGTGTGCTTTAAACTAAGCCCAAATACAAATGGGTTCAATGCACAGACAGAAAGGGCTTTGTGTCAAGCCACAGACGATGCTCGGCTATGCTGCTATAGGCATATGGGCAATGCTCTCACAGCAAAAGGAGACGGAGCCAGGGGGACAGTCTTAGAGAAACCCTGTGAGGCTGGCAGATGCCATAGTCCTGGACAATACCTGAAAACAAGACTAGCTGAAGGCAACTGCATGCATCACCTGGATGGAAAATACAGTAGTTCTGCTCCTGTTCACCTCTTTCATGGAGAAGAGGTTCTCTTGTCTCATTTTCACCTGAGTCCATCTGCTTGTCTAAGCACCAAAGTGAACACATGTCCACCTGGAACTGCACTGAAGTCAACATTTCACCATTCTTGGCATCTAAACAGCCCTCCAGTAGAAGGCAGCTTTTGGCATTACCGATGCCTTTGGAATGAAAGACTGTTAAGCCATTCCCGTGAAGCCAGTCAATGCCCTGCCCTACATCCTAACCACACAACCGGATCTTCTGGTGGTGCTTTATGCTTGGTTTGATCGGCTAACCCTTCATCACACACAGCCTGTCTGAATTGGCTGGCTCCATTGTACGGTCCCAATGGTGCCAATATAAATACTGGTATTGTTACCAAAGTTAATAACTAACAAGCACTTGAGAACAGGAAGAAAGCCACCTGCTGTTTTATGGCCTTTGCTGGGGGGAAGGTAAGGCAAGCTAAACTTCATTAGAGCATAGATAGGTTTTAGCGCTCAAAGGAAAGAGGGAACCATGGTCACGTAAGAGTAATTTCCTTTCCTAACGGGCTACCCACACGCTCCGGACACGCGAAGCGGGTTACCGGAGGCAGCGCGAGGCACGAGCCCTGAGCCAGCCCACCTCACCAGGGAGCTGCCGTTGCAGGCCGGGATGGCTTCCCAAGGGGAAGACACCCCACCGCCGTCTCTCCGAGTTTACGGGGCCGGCCGCCGGGTGGGCGCAGCCCCCTCCCGCTCCTCCTCACCTATGATGACTCCGCAGGCCAGGAGGGCGTAGAGGGAGGTGGTCTGCTTGAGGAGCAGGTAGGAGAGCAGGACGTTGAAGACGGTGGTGAGGGAGCGCCCCACGTTGTAGAAGGCCACGCCGACGTGCTTGAGGCAGAGGTTGTTGGAGGTGACCATGCCGATGAAGACGGCGGAGAGGGGCAGGACGCTGCGGGACACCTTGGGGTCGAGGCGGAGGGCGGGCAGGCTGGGGCAGGGGGGCCCGCAGGCCGCCCCCAGGCTGAGGCCCAGGCAGAGGGCGGCCGTCAGGGCGCACTGGAAGAAGGTGACGAAGAGGGGGGCGTCGAGGCGCAGCGAGGGGCTGTCCAGCAGGTACTTGTTGAGGAAGACCATGGCGATGGAGGTGAACCAGTAGAGGCAGACCACCACGGCGATGCGCAGGGCCCGCAGCAGGAAAGGGGCCCGCTGGTCCCCGCCGCCCTCCGCCGGCAGCAGCGGGTC